GAGGAGGAGAAGGGAGGAGAAAGAGGGAGAGGAGGAGGAGAAAGGAGAGGAAGGAGACTTTCCAGACCAGCTCCCGGGAAGCCCAAATTGCTGCTGCTCCTCTTCTTCTTCCTCCTCCTCCTCCTCCTCCTCTCTGCTCGCGAGGAAAACCTGCCTCGGGAGGGAAGCGGAGCCCCTCGACCGGCGGCCGGCCAAGATGCTGCTGCGGTTGCTCGCTGCTGCTGCTGGTTCCCCCCGCCGGCCCTGCAGAATCCCCGCCTCAGCCCGGGAGGCTGTTGCAGCAACCCCGCAGTGGCGGCGAAGGGGCTGCAGCGTGCGCCGCGCGAGGGAGGCAGGCGATCCTGCCCGGGAGCGAGCTTGACGCCCGAGAAGGAGCGAGGCTCCCGGAATATGGGGGGTGGGGTGGGGGGGTTCGGGGAGGCCGAGCATCCGCGGCCGGCCCATCCCACTGCCTGAGGCGGACTCGCACCGGGGGAGGGGGGGGGGCAAAGGGGGCGCCGGGAGGCGGGGTCGTTTTTCTTTCTCCCTTCCCCCCCCCCGTTTTCTTCGCCGCCCCTCCCCCAGCCAGGGAAGGCCTGCCCCTCCCCCACCACAACAAAGCGAGGGCGCCACCCCCACGCGCAGCCCAGGCTTTGGGGCCTATGCCGCCCCCGGTCGCTCCCTCCCTCCCTCCCTCCGCCGCCTCTCGTCCCCGCCGCTCCCGCTCGGCCACCCGTGCCCGGCGGCCACCCCTGAGACCAACCTCCGCGCCCCCCGAGCTGCGCCTCTGCCGCCCTCGTTCTTTCTCGCTGGCTGCACCTCACCGCTCCGCACCCGCCATTGGCTGGCCGGGCCCGGACCCGCCCCGCCCCTCTCTTCGCCCCGCCCGCCGCGCGCGACGCCGTTGGCTGGCGCGGCCGTCCATCCAAAGGAGCGTCGGCGCGGAATGGAGAAAGCGGGGAAAAGAAGGAGGGGGCTTAGTCGCCGAACGCCTCTTTTTTTTTTTTTTTCCCCCCCCCCCCCCCCCCCCCCCCCCCCGCCTTCGGGCCTGGCTTTAGCCCCGCCTTTCGCTCGCAGCCTCAGCAAACGGCGATTGGTGTCGGGAGAGGCGACTCATCGCTCTGACGCGAGGCGCGCTCACTCCGCTGGGGGAGGGAGGCGGCTGAGGAGGACAGAAGGAACCTCCGGATTGGCTGCGGCGCGCATCAAATCAAACCCCCCCCCCCCCCCCCGGCTCTGGGTCCCGCCCCCTTCCCCGTCGCGTATTTTCGCGACCGGGCGCCGGCGGGGGCGGGGGGGGGCTACGAAAAAAAAAAAAAAATTGGGTTGAGCCACATGTAGGGGATTAGTGGATTCCTCCGCGTTAGTCCCGATAACCTTCCGCGCAGGAGGAAGAGAAGAAATAGTCCCCGCCACGTCCCAAAATCCAAATTATTCCGAAAAACAATAAAAGCTATTTCTCTTTTTCCCACCCCGAAAGCCACAGGCAACCTCTTCCGTCCCAGAACTAATTTTGGTTTCTCTCAGAAACATTGCTTTCTCACCTCAGCACCACGCCCAGGTGTGAAGGGGAAAAGGCTTAGGCAGTTCATACTTTCTCCCGGGAGAAAATTGAATGGGGAAACTCTTCAACTGAACATTTTTGTTATTGCAATAAAATATTCTGGATGCACGAAAGGAGCCATGCTCAAAAGTTGTGCGCTGTGTGTTTTGCACGTCCTGCATGCGTGCAACTGACAATATGTTGGTGTATGTGTGTATTATGCAACCTCGGCACCAGAGATTTCCAAATGGTGGAGTGTATATTAATTGGCCCAGCTGTCTTTCTCTTTTTTTCCCCCCTCTGCAGTGGAAAAGTAAGCATTTAAAGGGCTAACAAAGCCAAATTCATAGAGCTTTTTTTTTTTTTTTTGTCTTTGCACAACATTTTAACCAAGTTTTGCTGATCTATGTTCACCCATAATGGTGAATTGGATTAGGAATTCATTTGGGATTGTGGGGGTTTTTTGTGTGGGGAAGTGTGTTATGCAAACCTTTATTTGTTATGGCTCGATGTTTTGGGTGAACCCAGAAAGTGACTTGATCCAGCATCCAGGTTCAGCATGTATGAATGCACGCAACATGGCATGAAGCTGCTTTTGACAGGGATGCAACCCAAAAATAAGATTGTTGCAAAAGTCACAGGGAGCCCCCCCCCCCATCAAATTTTAAAAGAGTCAATAATTATTTAATGTTTAGTCAATTGGAAAACCTGAAGGATCAGGTTAAGGATAGATTGTTATGGAGAAAATCGTATCTATCTGGTCATTAGAGGTCAAAAACGACTTAATGGCCCAGAATCAACAACTGATCATAGTATTCATAGGTCAACACAAAGGGGGGGCGGGCAGAATTGTAATCCACATTTTAATGTATTTTAATGATTGATGTGGCCACCCCATTCACACTAGTGACTTCAGTGGTGTACAAAAACCATCAGTTGTTAACAGTCTCAAGAAGAAACCACAAATTCCAACTTACAATAAAAACATCACCCAGAAGACTTTACTTATATCCCCATTTCTTTTTTTTCTTTTGCCTCCCATTATTTCTTTGGGGGGAGGAGAAAGTTATTACAGGTAGTCCTCATCTTACAACAGTTCTTTTAGTGACGATTCAAAATTACAAAGACATTGAAGAACGTGACTTATGACCAGTTACAACCTTTGCAGCATCTCCATGGTCAAAATTCAGGTGCTTGGCAACAGATTTATGTATTATGATTGTTGCTATGTCCCAAGGTCATATGATCCCCTTTTATGACTTTCTGACAAGTACAGTCATTATGGAAGCCAGATTCACTTAACAACTGTGGCAAGAAAAAATGTAAAATGAGGCAAAACTCACTTAACAATGCCTCACTTAACAAAAACTTTGGGCTCAATTGTAGTTATAAGTCGAGGTCTACCTGTACGATATACAGAGAATGACCAGAGGAACATAAAAACCCATCTCCTTTTCCTTCCCTTTCTTTGTTACCACCTCATTTTGATGCATTATTTATTAACTTATTGGCTGATTTGCAACCATTTGTAAAAATAGCTCCTAACTGCATTGTTCAGATGGGCAGGAGTGGGGAAGAGAAATTCTATGTTTTGGTAAAAGTATGTCAGCAGTTACATCCCCATTTCTTCCTATCAAGTAAAAAAAAAAGACACAAAAAAATAAAAGAAAATCTCTTAACGTCCTCCTTGGCCAATTGTTTGCCCTCATCCTTCGTGTGCAAGTTGCATTAATCTTAGTTTGCAGGGACATTTTTCTCCTCTCAAAATTTCCCACCTCGTTTCACAGCAATGGTGCCTCCCTCCCTTCCTAAAATTATCTTTTCAGAGGGCCTAAGGGAGAGAGAAACACATTTTTTTTGCTGATCTACAAAGTGCCAAGGACATTGAGCTAAGCCATCCTGCAGCTTTGTTTGGTTTAGGGATCAAGTAGGTGAATCCAGACATTGTTCCCAAGGCAAGGTTTAGGGCTTAACTTTTATGTGTGGATTCAGCAAACAGATCATCGGCTGAATGACCTTAAGTCAGGAAGCAGACGATCAAGTCTGACTTACCTTCCCTTGCTAGTGCTAAATACAAATTAATCATCATCATAATAACATCATCATCGGGCCTTGAGCTTCACAAGGTGGTGAGCAGCCAGCACCCTTCCAACAAATAGGCCCTGCTAATTCTTTCTATTAGGAAATAATGTCAAAGTTCATCTACACCTTAAGGATGGTTTTCGGATAGCCTGATTTGCAGCCATTAACAAATGATAAAGACTGCCTCCTGAGCAGCATTTAGACAGCAGAGTTTGCCACCTCCAAGTGATAACCCTTTCTTTTCATGCTGTGAAAATCCTGCATACCAGCCAGTGTTTAAAGGGTGTTACATAATAAGATGTTAATGGCTGTGGCATCTTTCATTGCTGGGCCTTATGATCACTTGAATTACAATTACAATGGTTTCCTTGGGAATTTGCTGCAACCAGACAGCACTTGGACAGCAGTTTCCCTTGGACAGTTAGGCAAGCCTATGACACGTGTATCAAAGGTGACACACCACAACATTTTGGGTGACACACCAGCGTTCACCAATATCTGACAATAACAATTTAGGAAACACGACTCCAAAAATTAGTTTGTTTTATTTGTATTTCATTGATTATTTGACGTTTCTGTATATAATACATAGCACCAGTGGTGATTGGACTGTATTATTTTAAAAATAAATAACTATGTAAAGAATCATTTATTTTTTGCTGGGGGAGAGGAGGTGTGACACGCCAGCAGAGTCAAGGGAGGCAATATTTTAAAAAAGTTTTAACACATTGAGCCCAAAAGGTTCACCATTACTGGCCAAGGGGAATGACAGCCCCAAGATATCTTTACAGGAATACAGATTTCAAGTGATGGAATTTAACTCATCTTTAAAAAGAATTTCAGCAGAACCCTGCAGTAAATGTGTAAATAAAGGTTTTCTAAGTCAGTTGAGAAAATGAGAACGTAGTTTCACTTGGCATTTGGTATGCAACCGTGTTAGTCTGCAATTTTGCATAACAAGTATTTAAAATACAGAGGAATTGTTCCCCTTTGAAATGATCATGAGGGAAGGGGAAACTGTTTGTGGGATTTATAGACTGCCCATTCTGAAGCCCTGATTGTTAGAAATTTCAATAGAGATGCTAGAATACTCCTCCTTCCTCCTGTTTTCCCCATAACAACAACCCTGTGAGGTGGATCGGGCTAAGAGAGGGTGACCAGCTTTAGCCAGCTTTCGTGCCTAAGGCAGGATTAGAACTCAGAGTCTCCTGGTGATTGGCCCAAAATCACCCAGCCAGTTTTGGTGCCTAAAGTGGGACTAGAACTCATCCTCCCCTGGTTTCTAGCCTGGTCCCTTAACCACTAGACTAAACTTGCAATGTTTTGTGATAGTGTATATATCCAAGCAATGAACTGATAACCTGTGAAAAGTGTTAAACTCATACAGAAAAATTAGATTTTTCCAGAAAATAAAACATTCCATCAACTGTATTTAGCTTTCTTGTTTACAAGCCTCTGAAGTGAATTATATTTTTATATTCTCCTTTAAGTTTGCGAAATTCATTGGGTTTTAATATTTGTGCCAAGTTTCTTTTGTATGTTTGCCAATTTAATTCATGAAAATATATTGAAAAGTATAACTGAACATTGCTTTTGTATACTTGTATATTATAAACATGTTTAACAAATAAACATGGTCTTACGGACCCCTTGAATTCTAGCTAATATGTATTATAAATCAGTAAACCATGCCAGTTTTATAAATTGTACAATGCCTTGGCAGACAATTTGCTTTTTCCTTGCCTATTTAAATTCAAGATTTCTGAAGTGTGATTTCTTCACACATTAAAATTAAATATGATGTTTATGATTAAAAGAAAGTCATACTAATTTAAAACTTCAGCAACAATGCTTTTGTCTGTATGCATTGAAAGAGGAATACAGTTATATTGTCACTCTTTGAACACATGTCTTTTCATTTATGCATTTGATATACAAATTTATGAGTATTAATATTTTTTAAATATACATTAATATGGTGGACATTCAAATGGCAATAACAGTTGTTCATGATCCAAGCTGTTCTTAAAAATGCAATTTATCCTTCTATCTGCAGAATAGAATTAAGATTAGAATAATATCTTCTAATCTTAATTCTATTCTGCAGATAGAAGAATAAATAAATAAAACTCAGATTAGAAGATACATTGATATGGTTCACACAACATGAGTAATCACATATTAAGTCCTGGGGGGTGTTAAGTTTCACATATTATGGTTTGTAAACTATGATTTTTTTTTAATTTATCAATAGCAGAAGATTGTACTTCATTCCATCTTAGTTAAAACAAGCTATAGCTTAACACAGCCTATGCATATAACCAATATTGCCTCACTTTTAACAATCCATTCTTTGGGAGTTTACCC